GTGTTTTGACTATAATAAAAATGAAATTTTTACCTTTGATTTTTGGGTCATTACAACAATGCATGCAAGTATGAGCCTTCAGTCTGCCTGGAAAGTCTCGCAAGGCCTACAGTATGCCTGGATCGCTCTCCCAAACCTACAGTCTACTAGCGCGTCTCGTAAGACCTACATTAGCTGGACAATTGGGCGTACAGTATCAACTGGACCGCCCGGACCTCTTGGCCTTCAGCACACAGCCGGACCACCTCAACCCAACCACAACATATAGACATATACATATAAACAATATCAAGCAAACACGAGTAATCATAACAAATCAACTTGCCTATCATACCGCTATAACATAACAACATCCTATACCCAAGGATACATAACATAATCAAGTGGGCCGGCCTTGGTGCCTTAGACCCATAAACATAGTGACAAAAACTCACCTTGAAATCAAGCAGATAAAGAAATAACTCCCTACCAAGATCAAAGCCAACACCTTAAGTCACCTATAAGATAGTAGTAACTCAATCTCAGTCTAAATTCCAAACTCACAAGTTGACAAAAAGTCAACTAAGTCAAAAAGTCAACAAGTAAACCCCAATGATCAACGGTCAAGTCCAAAACCCCAAAAACCCTAATCAACGAGTCTTCATGTCGTGGCCATCCATCGGCCACGCCGTGGCAGTGTAAGGGGAAAACAGTCTGAACTGCTTAACATATTAAACTATTTCCCAACAATTCCAAGGGCTCTAAAGCTCAGATCTGGTGCTTCCCACGGTCTTGATGGTTAAATTTTCCAACTTTATCCATTAAGACATCTCGATAAGTCAAGATCTCAAACCCTAAGTCCTTAAAGGCAACTCGGGTCATGAAAACACCCATTAAGCATTTAATCATTATATTTACTGCCCTAAAATTTCCAGAAGGGTTTCCTACACCTAATGGACCATAAAAATCATAGCTTTATGGGCATGCATGTCCAATGCATGCCCCTTCCATTTTAAGTCAAGAACATGGCAAGTATGCACTCAAAGCTTTTTTATGGGACCAAAACTCCAAGGATCCTAAGATCTGGAACACATAACACTAAACTGACCATAAATATCCATAAAGTTGCCAACTTTATGGAATCCGACCTTCCAAACTTCCAAACCATGAAGATTATGGGACAAAAGGCCTAGATCGAGAAGCAAGTAACAAAAAGATTGGATCTTGGACACTTACAAAGGTCCAGAGAATGCACAAGAGAAAGATGATAAGGCTTGGTTTCTTAATCCAAACTCTAAAACACTTTCTTCTTCTTCTCCAAGCTACTAAGAGCAGCAAAGGGAACAAGAATCACCAAGAGAGGATAAGGTTAGGGTTTATGATGTTAAAGCATGATGGAGACTAAGGATAAGCAAAACCTAGCCTATATTTTCCTTTATATAGGCCATAAAACCTAGAATATTAGCGTTTTAATCGTCAGACGGTCGCCATGTCGTGGCCATTCCACTACCATGCCATGGGAACCAAAACAGATTAACGGTTCATTAATCACCGCCACATCGTGGTGGTGCCTCCACCATGTCATGGAACCCCAAAGACATAAATAATTTTAAATAACAAGTACCTCAAGATCTAGATGTTACAATTCTCCCCTTGAATCAGACTTCGTCCTTGAAGTCTGTGGCCACAAACAGGTTTGGGTAGTACTCGCGCATCTCCTCATCGGGCTCCCACGTCCACTCGAAACCCTTACGATGATGCCATTGGACCTTGAACAAAGGCACTTCCTTGCTACGTAAAGACTTGATCTTTCTATCCAAAATTATCATCGACCTCTCAATATAATTCAGGCACTCATCAACCTGAATGTTGTCAATTGGAACTACTGTTGAATCATCTGCTAAGCACTTCTGAACATAAGAAACATGGAAAGTGCTATGAATCTGACTGAGCTTATCAGGAAAATCCAGTCGGTAGGCCACCTTGCCTACTCTTTCCGCTACTCAGAAAGGCCCAATGAATCGGGAACCCAACTTGCCTCACTTCCTAAAGCATATAGCATCCTTCCAGGGAGATACCTTCACTATTACCATATCCCCAACCTGAAACTCCAACTCAGACCTTCTCCTATTCGTGGTGCTCTTTTTTTTACTCTGAGTTGTCTGTAATATTTGCCTAACCGGCTGTATGAGCTATGTCGTCTTGAGCAATATATACGTGCTCCCCATGCCCGTTGACCAACCTCTCCCTAAAAAATCGGGGTCCAACACTTCCTCCCATAGAGAAGCTCAAATGGAGGCGTATCGATACTGGCATGATGGTTGTTGTTGTATGAAAAGTCTACCAACGGTAGGTAGGAGTCTCAGCTCCTACCGAAATCAATAATAAAGGTCCTCAACATATTCTCAAGCATCTGGATGCTACCAAAAGCACCAAAAGGACCAAGAATCACCAAGAGTGGATAGGGTTAGGGTTTCTGAGGTTTGAGGATGATGAAGGTTGAGGATGAGCAAACCTTAGCTCCTACTATCCTTTATATAGGTCATAAAACCCGAAACGTTGGGGTTTTAATCGTCAGATGGTCGTCACGCCGTGGGCATTCCACTGTCATGCCATGGGAACAAAAACAGATCTGCGGTTCATTAATCATCCCCACATCGTGGTGGTGCCTCCACCACGTCGTAGCACCCCAAGGACATAAATAATTTTAAATAACAAGTACCTCGAGATCCGGATGTTACAAGGTACCAAATCCGAAACAAATGTCAAGTATAAAGATGAAATAGTTGGAAAATGAATTTTTCCAAAAATACAACCTTTGGACAACCAAAGTGATCAGTCTTAGTAATTTACTCTAATTAGGAACTTGTCCTCCGCATGTTGCGGCATCGCCAATCCATTTTGTAAGTTGAAGTTTGACAATTATATTGATAAAAGTTAGGTAATGTTTCCTTTGTTTGGTAGATAAATATAGATGGTCGGTACCACTAACTAGCTTCAATTTATACCGCCGAATGAAGATGTATTTTCATACGAAATCAAAAGAAAACGTCTTATATGTGATCAACCTCATACATGAGAAACATACATAAAAATAAGCACGAAGATGTATGCAAAATTTATGTTGAAACATAAGAAAATTCGAATTTATACCGACACATAAATAAAAATAACCAAGTAAGATTTTGTTTTTAAGTTAACGAATGAAAGTTTAAATGATTAAAAATGTATTATATGTAACAATACTCATTCATATGAAGCGTACATTAAAATAAACACGAAAATGTAAAATTACTTCGAACGTAAACAAACTTGAATTTATATATATATATATATATATATATAT